CCTGCTGCCTACTCTCTGCAGCATGGGTTATGGCCCTAGAAGACATTTTTCAGCTTTCATTTGCAGTGCTGTGGATTAAGATTGCAGCTCTACAAGTTTTTCCCTCTTACATGTGAGCATGAGAGGACTCAAATACTGATTGTTGAAGTTTTTCCAGCACGTACTGTCTTTTTCTTTTGTGTGGCAAGTGCAAAGTGGGTTTGCAAGGAGGGGGAGGAGGAAGGCAAGTAATGAAAATTAGTGGGTACGTGTGTCTGGCAACCCTGGCATTGCCTTTTTGTTCACCACTGGTAATAACAGTAATAAATAATTATTACTGGTGAATATTAACTGGTGAATAAAGTGCAGGGCTGTTGTGAATCCTTAATTATTTGGCACACAAGGCACATAAGAAATTGCCTCTCATGCCAAGCTCTGTGCATTAATCCCCACTGATACTTGTCACTCTTGATTTTCAGTCCAGTTACTAGAAATGACTGAGTTAGGGCCATTACTTAATGCCATGCTTTAATTCCACTAGCTGCTGTTTCCAAATAAAATCACTTGTACCCTCTGCCTGGTGAACACCTTAGCCATTACCTTGTCTACATAACTCAAGTTTGAGGGTGAACAATACACATGTGAAACGTGCAGAGACGACTTGGTTTGCATGTGCCATGACACTGGGGTCTGCAGTCCAGCAGATGAAAACCTGGAGAAAGAGCTTGAGGACTTTGTTACTTTCCCAGATTTTTCATAGACCCACTATGAGGTCTCAGGACATCCTTCACCTGCTGCTGCATTTCTCAACTCTTCCTATCTTGTTCATTTAGATTGTATGTTCACTGGAATTTTGCCTTTTTCATGTGTTTGTATAGTCCTGGCACCTTTGGAGTAGCAGATGGCAAGAACAGTAACCTGCATGACAGAATGAGTTAATAACAAAACTTAAACCCAGCTGCCTCTCAACAAACTTTGTAAAGAAATGTCATTTCTAGCATAATACGAAAGGAGAGGAGCATGACTGGGTCTAACGGTGTATGGTTATTCGGTTGCAGGTTCCCGGTGTACATAGAGGAGAAAGCTCTAAATACGCTAGCCTACCTTTGCGATGGTGATGCAAGGACTGGACTGAATGGACTCCAGTTGGCAATTCAGGCCAGATTAGCAGTGGGGAAGACCACTCCTTTGAGCATTACTGAAGGTGGTTCTGCAGATGGCATTCTGATAACAGAAGAGCACGTAAAGGAAGGGCTACAGCGATCTCACATCCTATATGACCGAGCAGGTGAGTACCTGATACAGTCTCTGAGATACAGTGATACAAGAGCTGATAGCCTCTATCAGCTGTTTCCCCCTTTCGTACCGGCTGCTCTGGTGAATCAGTGGTTGTACTGAAATTTGGTCCAAAAATTACTTTTGCTTTAGAATGTAGCAGGCTCACCCAGCAATGCCTTCCAAACAGGTTTTCCTCTTACCACTTCGGAAGTGTAGGTTAGCTGAAAGACATGTTTGTGGCCCTCCGAACAGTTGCACGGTGAAATTATTTGTTCTTTAAGGTTATTAGAATATTGTGTTCTAAGAGAGTTGCAATGTAAAGAGGGAAAAGTAATTTGATCAGGAGATTTGTTCTTGGAGGGTTGGAAATCTTCCATTGCACTTCTACTCCTTTGAAAGTCTTGGAAGTGCTCACATTCACAACAATATGTTATGTGAAAACCTGAGCAGTTGGCTTTATTTTTAGAGTTGCTTTTTAAGGTAATGAATTTTGTAGCTTGCTTAGGGCAGGTCTTATAAATCTAATTGCATCTAAGGCTTCCTAATGTGATAACCTTTCTTGCTAAATTTGTGACTTGGCAATGTTAGGCATCACAATAGTTGGCTACTGTACCATTTTATGTGAGAACGTTAAAAATCAGAGAGTGAATATTAGAGATGGGGTGAATCCCCTTGAACTCATACACTAGTTCTTCAGCAATACTTTAATTACTGTGCGGTATAGTATCAAATGCTTATTCTGAGCAGTATTTGGAGAACCGATTGATTTTTGTTTTGCCACTGCATCTGATAAACTTAATTAACTGTTACTACTCAAAACTTCGAGGTTATTTGTAGTGTATATGCTTGCTTGCAGCTTTCTTGCTACAAAAAGGAAATGATGGCTCATTGTCAGGAAAAAGTCAGCTGGGCAGATATTGATATGATGGCAGCTGAGAAGTCGAGGGTAGGCAGGGGGAGGGAGAAGAAAAATTTTATGGCACCTGTGGCAAGAAGTCATGATTAGGAGGAAGCAGAAAATCTGACCAGTTTACTGGTGTGAGTTTCTTGCACCGTGTAGGTCCCTTGTGTGTTTGCTGTCGCCTTGTGGCCACTGTCATGCAGAACTCGTGGCTGTGTCCATTGCTCCCAGCCCTCCTACGCCTATTTGCTGTGTTAGAGATGGCACAGAGTGCCTCTTCCTGAGGCTTACGTCAAGTCTAAGGTAGCACACGACAGCCCCTTCTATGTCACAGATATCCTTCGAGCTCTGTGTGGGATTTTTCTTTTCTCAGAGGTTTTCAGAGAGGGGTGAGAGCGGTGAAAATTCTGGTTTTCCTTGATTGTACAAATGCCAAAGAGCCTGCCACAGATATTTTTACAGTAGTAGGTTGCCCAAGTACATGCCTTTACAAAATTTCTCTCTTCTGTGTCTCAGTTGACCGCTTATGTCCATAGTAGAGGTAGCTGTTTGTCCTTTTATATACAAAGGGCTTCTTGATAGAGCCTACTATATAAATAAAGATATTTTTGTAGCACATTTTAGCTAATACTTTGAATCACAGTTGTGGTGGTGGAGTCTACAATCCTCTATTAATATAAAGTGCTTCAGCCTTATAAAGTGGAGGGACATAATGCTGTCTAATCATGATAACAGCAGCGTGCATTTGAGTGTAGTGGGTTCATGTAGAAAGCACCAAATAATTGATTAGTGTTCAGAGTTGTGTAAATATGCAATTTTGATTTCACATAATTACTTATTTTTGGTCACCTTCTGCAAAATTTGCCAAATATGTGTAGTTGGGCGCTCTTTTATGTACTTTCACCAAGTAGTCTAGGAAGGAAATTATTTGTAATCCAGTCATTAGGCTATTGTTCTGATCTTTGTGCAGACATGTAAAGACAAGATCTTTGTGCAGATAATCTGTACATTTTAGCTGGAAGAACAAAGAAACAGCTCTAGTCAAATTTCATTGCCAGGAGCCTCCTGCAGCCCTTGCGGTATGAGAGGAAACAAACTAGTTAATCGTATTTTAGCTTTTAATTGCTTTTTTAAAATTTTGATTTTTGGAGAAAATGGTGCAGCAACCAATTTAATTAAAGTGTATTTGCAGATGGACAGTGAACAGATTTTTAAGATGAATTTGTATTGTCTCTTCTTCCTCTTATATATTGTGTCTCTGCTAGCACCAATTTAATAGCAACTACCAAAGATAAATGTCAGAATAATTGCAGGATTTTATCTTGCTGTCTGTGTGGTAACAACTTCAGTTATGGTAAAGACTGGGAGTGTGTTAAGCTGTAGTTAATTTATTTTGTAATCTGGAACACGGTTGTTCCTTTCTTTTTTATGGAGGAGAAAGAGAAGGTGTCTCACACCATGTTTTTTGCCAACATTATTGTTTTCTGCTGGACCAGAATGAGAAGTATTTTTATCCACGCTGCTGCTCTTCCAAGGCTTTCCTGTGTCCTGTATCGATGAGCAGTTGATGTTTACCTTTGGCTAAGATAGAAAATAATGTGAGTCAGGGACTGTGAGTTTACTTTTGCCCGTTACCTTATAAATAGGGTTTGCTTAAGAAATCCAGATAGTAATTATGGTCAGTGAATAATGCTTTTTCCTTGTCTTCTACCGATAAGACTTTAGATAAATCAGCATCTTAAATTAGCTGGAAGACTCTTCATGAGTATGTAAACAATTTAGGGTCATCAATCAACAAGATTTACGCATCTGTATACATTAGACAGTAGAAAATCCTGTCTTCCCCAAAGCTTCTTGTGCAGTATCTTGTTTCTCTTTGGAAAGGTATTTGCCGTTGTGGGAATTGCAAATGTATTTTGATTCCAAAAACTCTTTAGAGTTTTGATTTCAGGAGGTATCTGGGATGCAGAACAGCAGTGACAGATAAGTTGGCATGTGTCTGTCTCTCAACTGAATTGATAAGGCCAAAATCTGTATGTTGACTAACTAGCCTGAGAGACAGAGGTAATAAATAAAGGTCTGTAAAAAGTTCTGTTTGATTTTTTAAAACTGTTTCTGGTATCTCACATAGAATATATAAAAACTGTATTTTTTTAAAAAGAAACATAAAACTTCTTTGTCCAATGCATGTAACTGTATTTTGCCTTTAATTGAAACTGCATTTCAAGTACAACTGGACAGTTTTTCTGAAGAAGTCCAAGTCTGATGCGTAAGTATTGTCATTATGTTGATTACGTGATCACCAGTGTTAACTTTGTGAGGAAGGGGAGATAAAGGGAGAAAACTGTCCCTTTTCTCAGTCTGCGTACTCTGAAGTCCCCTGCAGGTATGTGTCTCTAGTCCCAACCTATCTGCTGGATTCCTTCTGCCTTTCCAGCTGGTATCCCCAAGTATGACACTTTAAAGTAGCCCAAACAGTGTATAAAAGCACTCCACAAAAAGAAAACTGGGCAAGTGCAACCTCTGGAGATATTTAAAGGCCGTCTTCCTTACTTTTAAGAGACCAAGAGACGCCTCTTCCAAGAGGACGATGCAAGTTCAGCTGCTTGGGTTTATTGCTACTAACTCAAGTGTTATGACGGAGCATGGACGCGCTGTTTGTGTTGGCACGAGTAATGGCTACATACCACAGAGCTCTTTGTGTGGAGTCCTCGCAAAAATAGCTGTCTGCCGGTATGCGTACGCCAGCAGCGCCTGTGTTGAGTTCCCCGCAGAACCGCACTGCAGCGTGAGCAATGATGAAGGAAGAGGGACCCGGTTTCTGACCTGGGAGGAGGAGGTCTTGCTGACTACAAAAGGAGCAATTGCAGCTTTATGGGGGCTTTGGTTTTCAAACTCACGCATGTGGCCTTTTATTTTGCAAGGCCTACAAGTGACAGTGATGTGTTCTGATACGGCCTCCGGCTGTAAATCCTTTTATCCGTAGGAAGAAGAGAAGTATTAACAGATGGCTGTGCATGCAGCCAGTTGCCTTTATAATGCACGCTTAGCTGAGAGCCAAGGAATGCCAGGCACTTTAAAAAATATAAAAGGCAGATTATGTGGAAAATTTAACAACAATATTGCAGCAAAATAGTCTTACAGGTTTGATTAAGAGAAATGCGTAAGAATCAAAACCAGCTGCACAGATAAAAATTGCAAGCAGGAAGGGTCTCATTCAGTATTTGTAATGCTGACCCTGTATTTTTAACTGTAGCCCTAAAAGATCTGGAGTGGCTTTGTTTCTCCTTGGAGTCCATACGTAATCTTATATTAAACTCAAATGTTAAAAAAAATTTCCTTGTAATTCATTCAGTCTTCCCACTCCTTATTTAGCAGTCTGGCATTTCGGATTTTGGTTGTGGGTTGGTTTTTTTTTTTGTTTCGGCTGTTTACAGTTCTCAGGACACTTCCAGTAGTGCAGGTGTCCACAACTGAACTCGGCATTTCTTAGGGGGTTTGCCAGGGTTGTGTGCTGTGATCCTGTTTCCTCCAGATTGTGTAATGTGCCATCGTTGTATTTCCACAGCAACATTTCCCCTTTTCCCTTTATAATACAGCAAACTCCTGTTTGATTTACACTTTATTTTCAAGTTTTAGTTGATGTGAAATTTCTTTTTCTAAAATATCACTAGTGGATATTGTACTGGATTTCTCTGATTCTTCTGTTGTCTTCTCAGAGCTGTCTGTGTGTCCAAAAGCAATGGTCAGTGGTTTGTATGTGCTCAAACTTTACTCTCTGTCAATTAGGAGATATTTATGTAGAGGAGTCTTCTGAACTGCATAAAATATCCATATGTTTTTTTCTTTTGAAGGAAACTTCATTAGGGTACCAAAACCAAATTGTTTGCCTTGCAATATTTAAAACAAACACCCTCCTTTTCATCTGCAGTTGCTCTGTTGTGCTTATGTAGTTAGTGGAATGATCCATGGGGCAAAGCATGAAGATGTTGAAAACATTAATGAACACAGTAATAAAGTATACATAAAAAGAACTTGAAAAAGCACGTTATGTTTATCTGCTGTGATCTAGTAAAATATATTCTGTTCCCTTAAACGCATTTCACTTAATTTCCTCCTAACAGCTCTATGTATCTCTTCTCCCCCATTCTAAATAGGAGAAGAACATTACAATTGCATCTCTGCCCTGCATAAGTCCATGAGAGGCTCAGATGAAAACGCTTCTCTTTACTGGCTTGCTCGAATGCTTGAAGGTGGTGAGGATCCACTCTATGTGGCAAGGAGGCTGGTGAGGTTTGCAAGTGAAGATATAGGTCAGTATTTGCGGTATTTTGTGTTGGAATATTATGTTGAATGAAGATCTGCCAAGGCTTCAGGTTTCCAAAAATGGGCGTTTGAGGGGGGAAAAAAAAAACCCAACACACTTCAAAACTGCAAAATAGGTACAAAACACTGAAATGCTCCACATCCAACAACAACTTTGTATACGCAGAGACCTACATACGGTATCATTGTGCTGAGTACCTATTGCAGGAGAAACAAATACTTTTGAGGTCAGGTTTTGGCGGTGTATTAATGTGGATTCTTTTAAACTCTGGTGATTGTAGGTCACCAGCAAACTTGTGTCACAGAGAATGTGTATTTCAGGGATGTCTGTGGTTTTTTAGTGCCTCTGGAAGGTGAATGCCTACCCTGACTTGCAAAGCTCAGATTTGCTGGCTGGCTCCCTAGCTGTAAGGCATCTTGATTGACTTATCCAAACTAACAGATGCAGCAACACTTTTAGCACATATGCAATGGGTGAAGAGTTATGACATCTAGGGCAGCTGTGTCTATATAGCAATATTTCCCCATTTCTTTCTCAATTCCAAAAACTAAGTGAATCATACGCAGGCAGCTACTGCTCAGGCTGCCACCGTGTGGCAGCAGATTGAGTCTGTAAGTCACACCCACGATTTAGACCTTTGTTTTTGTGGGGGAGACAGAAGAAGATAGAGGCAGTATATCTTAGGTACTGCGAAGTATTGTACCAGAAATTCCAACATCTGAGAAAGCAACTTTGAAATGTGCATGGATAACCTTCCATTTTACGGGGCAGGGGGATGGGGAGGTGGGGGAGAGACAGTAACTAAAGTGACGTGGCTAACATGCTTTTGTCTGATATGTTTTTGTAGGGCTGGCAGATCCTTTGGCTTTAACACAAGCAGTTGCTGCTTATCAAGGTTGTCACTTTATTGGAATGCCAGAATGTGAGGTAAAGTCTTCATTAATCCACTGATTTGAAAGCACTACAGACTGTAAAGCCTATCTGTAATTATACAAAGAAAGAAAGATGGCAAGGACAAGGCAAATTTAGTTACTTGTTCATTCAGCGCACCCTTTCTTTGACAAGTAAGAGAGCATCTTACCTCTTATAAAAGATGTTGTAGTTTGAAATAAAATTCATTGCATATTTATTGTTAAAATGTAGCAGGTGAACTAACAACATTTTGCTCTGTCCATTTTTTTTCTCTGTTACATATAAAATAAAATTCTGATATTCTAAAGTAGCTATTCCTTTCTAGTACTGAAAATCGTGAAGAGCTGTGTTGTTAAGTAATAATTTTCATACTATAGGAGCAGACAGAGGGCAGTTTAAAAACATAATCCCTGTTACACTCCACAAACAACTCCACAACAACCTGAATAACAGATCTTTTCCCAAAGAGCTTAAAAAAAGTCATTTAACGTTTTCCCTTTTCTTGTTTCCAGGTCATTCTAGCACAATGTGTAGTGTACTTTGCCAGAGCACCAAAGTCTATAGAGGTATACAGGGCGTATAGCAATGTCAAAGAATGTCTGAGAATGCACACGGGACCTCTGCCGCCTGTTCCGCTGCACCTGAGAAATGCCCCAACAAGGCTCATGAAGAATTTGGGCTATGGTAAAGGCTATAAATATAACCCCATGTACAAGGAGCCTGTAGAGCAGGACTATCTACCAGAAGAGTTGAAAGGAACAGATTTCTTTAAGGAACGAAAAACGTGACTGCCTTGCTCGAAATGGGTTTTGATTTTATGACTCGTACGTTTGTCCTGGGATGGAAATTCCCCTTACAGTTTCAGCCACCTATTACTGTGGTTGAAAGTATTAAACCACTGAGCTTTTCAGATACTTTCTTATCCATCTGGTTTTACTGCTGTTATTCTGAAGGTGTTTTGTAAAGAATTGCAGTTAGGCAGTGTAGAAATGCAAAAATAAGCTTTATCAATATAGTGCTGTTACCCTCTGGTTCAAATGAAACAGAGGAAAAATGAGAGATGTATTTCTGGCTCTTGCTCTGAGACAAGGAATATTATTGTGCTGCTTTTTAAAATCAGGATCTGTTTCAGATTTTGAGAATGATTATTTTCCGGAAAAATAGTAAATTGTACCCCCTCTGTTAAAATATGGTAAACAAAATACAATTACATTGTAATTATTGCTCTCATGGTGTTCCAGAGACTAATTTTGTACAACAACATTTATTAAACCAATAAAGTTGTTAAAAATAGTGTCTATGCATTTGTTTAAATGTTCTTATGCCAGCAGCATGGTTTTAAAAGTTTGAGGTTCCTTTATCATCCCTACTTTCCAGAGCAAGTTTAAATCATTTTGGAAGTAGCATGATCATGAAAATAGTTGAATTATGTTAATTTTTTAAGTTGTATCCCTTAAAATTTTTATTGTGTGATGACATTTTGGTAAGCGCTTTTGGAAAGGAGGTTTTTGGTGGTGAAACACGCTCGTATATTTCCAGTTGTGCTTCAGGAATTCCAGTAGCTTTGAATTGGAAAGCGGAGAGGCACAAATTGACTTCCTGCTGTTATAATAGAGAGTTTGGCTTCCTCTTCCTACTGAAAACATACCCACGTCCAAGATTGCTGTTGACTGAACATTTCAGTAAGTGGAACGTACGGTCATGGCAGTGTCCCTGATGTTGACAACATTCCTTCACTTAAGTGCTGATTATTTTTCTTCTCCTCAATCCTCCTTAAGTGCGCAGTAGCCTGGTGTGCTGAAAAGCCAGCAACTGCTAAACCAGCATATGACTGTGCTAACTAGCAGCTGGGTAGCAGAAGAGGACCGTGTTTGGCTAGAATTACAGCAGGTAATTAGCAAAGAAGATTTCCATTACTGAAATGCTGAGGAGCCGCTGAGGCAACTGTCCACGCTTGTCAGAGTGCCGTGGAGTAAACTATCCTGGTGGACAACAGGATGACCATGAGCCAGCAATGTGCCCTGGTGGCCAAGAAGGCAAATGGCATCCTGGGGTGCATCAAGAGGAGTGTGGCCAGCAGGTCGAGGGAGGTCATCCTCCCCCTCTACTCTGCCCTGGTGAGACCGCATCTGGAGTACTGCGTCCAGTTCTGGGCTCCCCAGTTCAAGAAGGACAGGGATCTACTGGAGAGGGTCCAGCAAATGGCTACGAAGATGATTAGGGGATTAGAACATCTCTCTTACGAGGAAAGGCTGAGGGACTTGGGTCTCTTTAGTCTAGGGAAAAGACGATTGAGGGGGGATCTTATTAATGCTTATACATATTTAAAGAGAAGGTGCCAGGGGGATGGGAACAGTCTTTTTTCAGTGGTGCCCAGTGATGGGACAAGAGGTAATGGGCACAAACTTGAACATAGGAAGTTCCATCTTAACATGAGGAGGGACTTCTTTACTTTGAGGGTGGCAGAGCACTGGCACAGGCTGCCCAGAGAGGTGGTGGAGTCTCCCACTCTGGAGACATTCAAAACCCTTCTGGACGCCGTCCTGTGCAACCTGCTGTAGGTGACCCTGCTCTGGCAGGGGGGTTGGACTAGATGATCTCCAGAGGTCCCTTCCAACCCTGACCATTCTGTGATTCTTGTCCTGATCCTGCTTGGTTCATGAAATGTGATGAAATCAAAGCTTACAATGCTTTTCTGCATGGCATCTGATCTTCTTTTGCTGTTCAACTAAGAATGCTGCGTCCCTGCTAAAAGAGGGAGGTGGCTCTGCTGACTTCCCTGAGAGGTGTCAAAAGGTTACTAACTCCTCCAAAAGGGCTACGTACCACAGATTGTGGTGTTGGTTTTTAGTTTTGGGTTGGGGTTTGTTTTTTTTTTATAATATTGAACGATTTGTTTTCTTCTGATGTGTTGCACTGGCTGAAAAATAACTGGTGCTTTGCTTCACATTTACAGTATTGCATTTAATAATTTTTTTAAACTTGCATTCAGCTACCTAATCCAATTTGTAAATAAATATTTCATTGTGGGGCAAAGGAAGAAAACTCTTTTGCGTTGGAGCCATACCGAGCTCTTAGCACAGCTCTCGAGCCGTGCAAGGGATACAACCCAGCCACCTGCTGGTCAGCTGGCCCGTATGCGCAAATTGCAGACAGGTATTTCTTGACAGCCGAGGTTTTTTGGTACTGTCGGGAGCTTAGTTCAGGGGGGATGTCCCTGCTGCGCATCCGGAGTGTGTTCAGAGCAACTTCTGCAGACCAGGAGGTCTGCGGTCTGAGGATGTGGTTCCAAGCCAGGAAGCCAACTTTAACTTGCCTGCAGCAGGAAATTCAGCTGATTGCTCTTTACGTTTGTGAAGATACACTGCTGTACCTTGGCCTTGATTGAAGGTTTGCAATATAAAACCTGCAAAATCTGTGCTAACAGTCCATGCAGAAACTTTTTGATCACTGTCTTCTCTTGACTAAAGGGTGTTTGTATTAGAGATTTTTTTTTTGCTGGGAGGCTCCCAGTTTGGTAGTCTTCATATTAAGTTCTTCTGCGTGACAAAAATGTAGAACTTAAGCCAAGGATCGTGGTGTAACTGAAATGTTTCAGAATTTAAACTGATTGCATGACTGTTACAGGGTTTGAGTCAGATTCTTTAAATGTCTCTATGTTTTCTCCTTCCTCAAATAAGTAGCCCCTACTCTTCACAGCAGGATCGTTTAGCAGGGTATGAGCTACTTCTCTGAGTTTGTGTCTGCCCTTTCAAAATATGTAGAAATATGGGAACAGAGGTGAAAACATGGATTGTATTAATTTTGCCAAGAGTATTTTGGATTGCTTGTGCCAATGAACCAATGTTTTAAGACACAGAGAGTTGAAGTAAATATTTCTTTAAATGGCCCATGATTTGCAAGCTGACCCCAGCTTGAAAAACAAATCAAATCAATGGATTGGCAAGCTTAAGGATGTTTTTCTGTCTTACAGGTGTACGAGTGGTTGATGTGCTTCCCTTTGACGCAACTGGCAGAAATGTTGAGCTAATGCAGTGTGAGGTATTTTTCCATTCTTATTTTCTTCTATTAGCAAAAAGAATGGGATAACCTTGCCAGATTTTCTTAACTTTGCTAGTACCTACTAGTGCTGAAATCTAATTTACTATAAAGTTTTACCCAAGGGAAACCCGAGACTGTAGTTTCTTGCCTGTGGTTGACAGAAATCTTTACTCGAAGGCTTAGCTTTCTATTTACAGCTCTTTTTAAGACTTGATCAAATTTCCCTTCTTACAACAAATTGTGTCCCAGATGTTAGATTTCCAAAAGATTTCCAGAATGACAATTGTGTGTTTTACCCCGTGTGCCTCTCTAGTACCCCCTGTTCTGGAGCAACTTGGTGTATTCAGGGTGAACCTAATGAAAATCCTGCGGCGGTCTGCAGTCAGCAAAGACTTGGTGGAGTTTGACTGATAGAATCTCTATCAGCCGAAAAAGTCAGTAGCTGTAGAGGCTACAGCCAGTCCAGCTGTGCAGAGATTATTATTTTCTCTGCAGTGCCTCCTCTGAGTTGCTTGCGGGCCACTGCAGAATTGCAGACAGAGACAGTCTCTCCTGTGTTCTTAGCGCTCCCGTGATGGTCCCGCCTCTGTCCTGCAAGGAGAGCGCAGAGGAAGAAGATTGGCATTGCTGAGCTTGTGGATGAAATGAGGAAAATTAACATATGCTGCTGCATGGAGAGAGTGGAAATGAGACACTAAGAAAGCCTGCAGGTAAGACGAAGCAATTTAAAAATAGTTATTGACTGTAGCTGTTTGTTCCCTATGTGTTCCTAAAAATTTCTGCATCAATAGAAGCAAGAGCTGGAGGTGACAGGAAACTGCAACAATACTGTATAGTCTGTGTAACAAATACCGTGGGTTTCCAGTAGAAGATGGTCCAGGGGTGATACTTATGCACTCTCTGTACAAATTGCGGTCAAGCAATTACAGATTTTTCTGCCCTTGTCTGAATAGCCTGTGGGTTCTCCCTTCATAAATACTTAGTCCGTGCTCCTTTCTCCCACCATCAGCCTCTAAGCACTGCTGCATTATCCATACAGTGCTATACTGCAAGTTTTCTCTGACTTGGCAGTCCTCCTCCCTTTATTTGGAAGGAGACAAAGATGCATAGCCCTGTGCAGAGCCTGGGTCTTTTCCTCATCTATGAATTCACACCTCCATCTACAACATCTGACATGATACATAAATATTATTTTATAATGTGTTGTCATGTTAAGAAAAAAGGATGAGGGATCTATTGTCCAATGTTTCAGTTAGATCTATCATGAAGGTAATAAATAAAGTGTTCTGCACTAATAGATAAGGTATGACTTAAGTGGTATGTGGGGATGGATATGTAGGCATTGTCTTTCCTGTAATTTTACAGACAAGTTATGCAACAGTAGAAGTTGCAGAAGATTGTCATATTAAGTACCCACACAGGATCATTCCTGATTCCTCATATTACAAAGAAAATACCATATCTGTAAACCATAAACTGTAAACTGTTAAGTCTCTCAGCTGTCTAGCAGGGGCATTGTGTTTTATCTTGTAAAAGAACAACTGAGATGGCTGAAATCATAATATAACTATTTTTTTAAAAAAAATAATAATTACAGTGTCTGTCCCATAATAAAGATTAACTGACTTTTGAAAAAAAAGCAGATGAGGACCTTCAGGGTAGTACTAGAATCATGACATACATGATACCAAAAATTGTACTCAAAGGGGAAGAATTTCTCACACTTTGTAAAACTTCTACAACCTTTCATGGTACGGTGTATGATAGCTAGAAGATGATTACTCATGGAGCTCTGCAATTTAATGCAAAATGACTGACCAAGGTCATACATGTATTAATTAATGCAAGAAGGAAGGCTTTCCATACCT